CCTCACTGACGGCGTGCTTAGCCAACTCTCCGGGCAGGAGCAGGCGAACAGCAGTTTGGATTTCCCGACTGGTGATGGTAGAGCGCTTGTTGTAGTGCGCCAGACGAGAAGCCTCGGCAGCAATACGCTCGAAGATGTCATTCACAAAGCTGTTCATGATGCTCATCGCTTTCGAGGAAATGCCAGTGTCGGGATGGACCTGCTTCAGGACCTTGTAAATGTAGATAGCATAGCTCTCCTTCCTCTTCCGCTTCTTCTTCTTGTCGTTCTTGGTGATGTTCTTCTGGGCCTTGCCAGCCTTCTTGGCTGCCTTTCCACTAGTTTTCGGCGGCATTATTTCACTTCACTTCACTGCACGATTCACTGATCATAGCAGTTCAGTTTTGGTGTTCGCTCTTATACTTTTATCAAGCAATGTTTTCAGGTCTGTGGCGACCCACCCTTACTGAACGCACAGGCAGAGTCAAAAGTATAAATTCGTGAACATCGACCCTTCGAGCTACATTCGTTCTTCGTGTGTGTGAAGTGAATAAAGTGAAATAAGAGAAAATGTCTGGTCGTGGAAAAGGTGGCAAGTAAGGAAAGGCAAAGTCCCGCTCCAACCGTGCCGGACTTCAGTTCCCTGTCGGCCGCATTCATCGTCTGCTCCGCAAGGGCAACTACGCCGAGCGCGTTGGTGCCGGCGCTCCAGTTTACCTGGCTGCCGTTATGGAATATCTGGCCGCTGAGGTTCTCGAGTTGGCTGGCAATGCTGCTCGTGACAACAAGAAGACTAGGATCATCCCGCGTCATCTGCAGCTGGCCATCCGCAACGACGAAGAGTTGAACAAGCTGCTCTCTGGCGTCACCATTGCCCAGGGAGGTGTCTTGCCCAACATCCAGGCTGTCCTGTTGCCCAAGAAGACCGAGAAGAAGGCTTAAGCGTTTTAACAGCGTGCCAAGTCAAACTTGTACATAGAAACACAAACTCAAACCCAAACGTCCTTTTCAGGACGACCAAACCATTTCAAAAGAAACTACAATTTTCAAATATGCTTAAGTTTAAAATAATTAATTCATAAACTATTAAATACATTTTTTTATAGTTAAAGTAAGGTGGTCGGTATAAAGTGTAAAACTAAAATGGAGCAAAAATGCAGAAAGTACAGTCGTCAGGGGACAATTCCGGTGACAAACATTAGCATTAATTTTCTTGAAAATGTTGGGTACAGTTTGCATCTTAAAAACCGGGAATTCATTCCCATCGGGACTGTTTGAGCTACCTACGGCATGATTGCCTACCTACGAAAAGCCCGACCAATTAAAATGTATTAGGCGTTATTATTCGTCTGGAATAAATATGAAATATAGCAATGAAATTTGATTTGATAATTTTCTCTTTTATGAAATTAAATGGTGGTCCTGAAAAGGACCGATTGTTGAGTACAGACTGTACTGATTGTTTAACCGCCGAAACCGTACAGGGTGCGGCCTTGCCTCTTCAGGGCGTACACGACGTCCATGGCTGTGACTGTCTTCCTCTTGGCGTGTTCAGTGTAGGTGACGGCATCACGGATCACGTTCTCCAGAAACACCTTCAGAACACCACGGGTTTCCTCGTAAATGAGTCCAGAGATACGCTTCACGCCGCCACGCCGAGCCAGACGTCGGATAGCTGGCTTTGTGATACCCTGGATGTTATCACGCAGCACTTTGCGATGACGCTTGGCGCCACCTTTTCCCAAGCCTTTGCCTCCTTTACCGCGACCAGTCATTTTTCACTCTTTTATTTAACACTTCGAAAGTCACCACTGAACTAATGTAGAAACGCCGTCGCCGCTTCTATTATACCAAAACTCAGCATTGCACGAGTGAGCCCGAACGATTGGCCATCTCGCTCTGTGCTCGAAAAATGAGATGGCATCTGCTGCGGCTCTCTTTTCAACCCTCCACGTTTTGCTATATAAGTAGGTAGCAACGGGTTGCTCGTTTATTGTGTTTTCAGACTCGTGAAGTGAACAGTGACAAGAAGTAATATCTAAAATGGCTCGTACCAAGCAGACCGCTCGCAAATCTACTGGTGGCAAGGCACCACGCAAACAACTGGCAACCAAGGCCGCTCGCAAGAGTGCTCCAGCCACCGGTGGCGTGAAGAAGCCCCATCGCTATCGCCCAGGAACTGTGGCTCTGCGTGAGATCCGTCGGTACCAGAAGAGTACCGAGCTGCTGATCCGCAAGCTGCCTTTCCAGCGTCTGGTGCGTGAAATCGCTCAGGACTTCAAGACTGACCTGCGATTCCAGAGCTCTGCCGTAATGGCTCTGCAGGAAGCTAGCGAAGCCTATCTGGTTGGTCTCTTTGAAGACACCAACTTGTGTGCCATCCACGCCAAGCGAGTCACAATCATGCCCAAGGACATCCAGCTGGCCCGTCGCATCCGTGGCGAGCGTGCTTAAGTTGCTTTTGACTAGCAGCCAAAGCGGCAATACATTTGTACAAATCGGTCCTTTTCAGGACCACAAATATCTTTAAAACTGAGACTATAAATTTTCATATCTATAATTATTAACATTTTTTAAATAAAACATTCTTGCGTTTTTCTGGTTAAATTTGTCAGAATGTATACATGGAAAATAAATACGTTCTTTAAATGTGTGTAGTAAGATACTTTTAGTAGGTATCGGTACAAAATTCGAAATACAAAGCAGATATTTTAAAAGGTATGTTAAAGACTTATTTATGAACCATTTGTATGGAAAGGTTTATTCAAACATAATCCAGTATATTTTTAATGCATAGTTTTGAGATCGTAATGAAATGGGAATAAAATGCTAATACAAGCAATAAGGCAAATATTCTATTAACAAAAATATATGTATATATAAGAGATAAAAAACTTTTTGATACACCAGATACATTTACGATATTAAAATTTCACTATTAATTAAAAATCTAAAAATTCATTCTTAAATGTATTTAATTTCGTCTCTCCTTGGGTAATAGACTCGGGTAAACTCTAATATGAATGTTGTATGGGGGACGTAATAGGGCATTACTAAGAAACGAATCCATAAATTCCCTTCAAAACTTTATTGACTGAAAGAACTTACTTATTTTTTTAATAAAATCAACAAAAATTAATATATTTTAATATATTTATATTTTTAGGTAGTTAAACCATATCCGATAGTACCAAGAAAGTCGACCATATTTTAATGAGAGGACCAGTTTAAAAGTGGTCGTAAAATACTTTTTGTTGTAAAAATTGCAACTATTTTTATTGTTTCTTCAAGTAAAAGGTTCAAATTTTACGTTTTCTTAAAAATGTTTAGTATCTTTAAAATATTTAATATTTTACACATGATTTTAACGAAATGCTATGCCTACAAATTTAAATCTTGAACTTCAGACAGCCATACAAAATGACCCAAAGACTTATTTCACCTTTTAATAAATGTAACTGTTTTATGAAACATTTAAGAACTAAAAATATTTAAAACCTTGTATCATTTAATTACACAACACAGGTAAAAGGAGAAAATGAAATTGCACATCGAGCAAACATTGGGAGCGTAAACGAGCGCTGCCAAACACATAGTTAAAGTGCTCTCCTCCTCGATTCTCAAAAACTTTCTTAAGCACTTCAGTATGCTGCAATTTCTATACAAACAAAAGTGTTTTCGTTAGTTTCGAAAAGAAATAGTGAAGCAAAATGTCGGACTCTGCAGTGGCAACATCCGCGTCCCCAGTGGCTGCCCCACCAGCGCCAGTTGAGAAGAAGGTGGCCGCCAAAAAGGCATCTGGATCAGGAGCTACAAAGGCAAAGAAGGCTGCAGTCCCGCCATCACATCCGCCAACTCAGCAAATGGTGGACGCTTCCATCAAGAACTTGAAGGAACGTGGGGCTCATCGCTTCTGGCAATCAAGAAATATATCACTGCCACCTACAAATGCGACGCCCAAAAACTGGCTCCATTCATCAAGAAGTACTTGAAGTCTGCAGTGGCCAATGGAAAGCTGATCCAAACAAAGGGAAAGGGTGCTTCTGGTTCCTTCAAACTGTCAGCCTCTGCCAAAAAGGAGCCCAAGCCAAAGGTTGCGGCTGCTGAGAAGAAGGTCAAAACCAAGAAGGTAGTCACCAAGAAAGCCGGGGCCACCGCAAAGAAAGCTGCCGGTGCTGCTGACAAGAAACCCAAGGCTAAGAAGGCCGTTGCCACCAAGAAGACTGCCGAGAAGAAGAAAACTGAGAAGGCAAAGGCCAAGGATGCTAAGAAAACTGGAGTTGTAAAGGCAAAGCCAGCAGCAGCGAAAGCTAAGCCGGCCGCCGCAAAGCCAAAGGCAGCCAAGGCACCAAAGGCCAAGGCAGCAGCGTCCGCCAAGCCCAAGAAGGCAGTAAAGAAAGCAACTGCTCCAGCTACCGCTAAGAAGCCGAAGGCCAAGACTACGGCGTCCAAGAAGTAAATTAAGATAATCTCTATTATCGCAATTTAGATTTCGAATTCTGAAATTTGAAATTAATTTAAACAAGCCCTTTTCAGGCTACAAAATCTTCTTAAAGAGACCAAAAATTATCAATGTTTTAAATATGGAGTTTTAACTGTAGAGTAGATCCGCCTATACCAATTAAATCCTTTTTAGGATTGGTAATAGCATATCTCAGTGAAGTAGTCATTTCCGACCCTATAAATTATATATATTCTTGATCAGCATCAACAACTGAATCGATATAGCGTTGGTCGTGAGGAAAAAAAAATATACTACATTTTTGGAACATTTTTTAAGGGTTATATTATTGAAATTGCACATTTATTAACCCTATAAAACCGCAGAACAGCATTTTGTTTTAAAAATTTTACTTTTATTTATATATTAAATAAGAATAGGGCTCTTGAAAATTTCGTTTCTTTGGTAAAACTTGTTGTGGCCCTGAAAAGGGCCTTTTTATGTTCCTCCGCATCTGCGAGAAAATTTACTTGGAGCTGGTGTACTTGGTGACAGCCTGGTTCCCTCACTGACGGCGTGCTTAGCCAACTCTCCGGGCAGGAGCAGGCGAACAGCAGTTTGGATTTCCCGACTGGTGATGGTTAGAGCGCTTGTTGTAGTGCGCCAGACGAGAAGCCTCGGCAGCAATACGCTCGAAGATGTCATTCACAAAGCTGTTCATGATGCTCATCGCTTTCGAGGAAATGCCAGTGTCGGGATGGACCTGCTTCAGGACCTTGTAAATGTAGATAGCATAGCTCTCCTCCTCTTCCGCTTCTTCTTCTTGTCGTTCTTGGTGATGTTCTTCTGGGCCTTGCCAGCCTTCTTGGCTGCCTTTCCACTAGTTTTCGGCGGCATATTTCACTTCACTTCACTGCACGATTCACTGATCATAGCAGTTCAGTTTGGTGTTCGCTCTTATACTTTTATCAAGCAATGTTTCAGGTCTGTGGCGACCCACCCATTACTGAACGCACAGGCAGAGTCAAAAGTATAAATCGTGAACATCGACCCTTCGAGCTACATTCGTTCTTCGGTGTGTGGAAGTGAATAAAGTGAAATAAGAAAATGTCTGGTCGTGGAAAAGGTGGCAAAGTAAAGGGAAAGGCAAAGTCCCGCTCCAACCGTGCCGGACTTCAGTTCCCTGTCGGCGCATTCATCGTCTGCTCCGCAAGGGCAACTACGCCGAGCGCGTTGGTGCCGGCGCTCCAGTTTACCTGGCTGCCGTTATGGAATATCTGGCCGCTGAGGTTCTCGAGTTGGCTGGCAATGCTGCTCGTGACAACAAGAAGACTAGGATCATCCGCGTCATCTGCAGCTGGCCATCCGCAACGACGAAGAGTTGAAAGCTGCTCTCTGGCGTCACCATTGCCC